CCTAATGGGCACGGCACAAAAGGAAAGGACACCGGGAGGGTGGAAGAAAAATAGCAAATTCTGGAGCTAGAGTGTTAGGTGCGCAATTGCAGAAGACGACGGGCTGCGCAGAAAGACTGCAATTTCCTTTCCTTCCAAAAACAGCTTGGAGAAAGAAAGGGGATGGGGCAGAAAGCAACTGAATGCAATTCCAACAAGTGCAAAGTTCCACATTTGGGAAAAGGAAAGAAAGATAAATCAAGATGAGATGGGGGAATCGGTGAATAAAAATTCAAGAGCAGTTATGGGTCACACTCCAGCAAAAAGGCAAATGCAGTTTGAGATTGCATCAAGGAAAGTCTGAAATCAAGGCCTGTGAGGTTTCCTCTCTGGCCAGACCCCTTCTCAAATACGGTGTCCACTTCTGGTCACTGCATTTTAAACATCAATTCGGAAAAAACAGAAGCAGCTCTGAGAAAGTCAGCAAAGGTGATCAGGGAACAAGAGAGCCAGTCTGCCAAAAACATGGAAGAAACTTGCTGTGTTTTCCTTCAAGAAAACGTGACTTTTCAAGTCTCTAAAGAGTCGTTGCAAAGAAAAGGACTTGTGCTTGATCGTCCGAAACTGCAAAGCATGAAGTAATGGGCTTAAGTTACAGGGAAGCGGGTTTTTATCTGGGGAAAACGTCCTCGTGGTCATTGCAGTCAGACAGGCATTACTTAGGAAGGTGGTGGGTTCTCGAGTGATGTGGCGGTTCAAGAGACCGGTCAGAGATCTGCCAGAGATACTCGAAACCGGACTTCTAAGCTACACGGAGATTAGACTCGAGGCTCTCATGGCACCTTCCAGCTTTATGGTCCCACGTGCCGAGAAGAGGCAAACTAGCCAACCTCCATGCAGAAGCACCCACCAATTACGAGGATCTATCTGGGGGATCTGACCTCAGAAGGGGACGTAACATCAGGGTCTAAGTTCAGGTACGAAGGGGAGGTTCTCTTCCCTGGTGGGACAGACGTCCTGATGAAGACTTATCTACGTTCATTCAGAGCCGCTGAAACTGAACCAACCTGCTCAAAATGATCGTAGCTGAAATTCCCATCAAACGGCACAGCAAGGGAGTACAAACTGGTCACCTGGCCTTATTGTCCTCACCAGAGCCCCACTAGGTAGCCCCATAGCCTTTTTGGGGGGGGGCACGACTCTCTTAGGGCCTCCCCTTTACATCGCCTGCCTGGTGTGTGGGCAAGGTTGCTACAGTCCCCCTTGGGCCCCCAGTGAGAATTCTTGGCCCCAGGGCGACAAGTGAGCCTGGGGCAAGGATCTTTTATGGGTCCCCAGGCTGGAACAGGAAGCCCATATGCCTGGCGGGGCAGAGGCAAATCACATCATCAGGCTGCATGTAATGAAGCTACAAAAGAAGACATTTAGAGGGATGGTATTTCGCTCCCCTTTAAGCAAAACGCAGTTTGCATTTTTAAACAGAGAAGGCGGCCCTCTTTAGAGAAGAAAGGCCCCTTAATTAACCTCTAGGCACGATTCAAAGCCTCATTTGTAGGGCGATTACCATAATTCCCCCTAGTACAAACACACAGCATGCATTAATGATCTCCCCCCTGCAAATATTTAAAAAAAATCCCTGCCCAGACAAAAGGCAAGTGAGCCTCTTTCTTCCTCCTCAGATGCATGGTTTTGGGCAGGCGAAGTCTGGAGATGTCATTTTGGGAAGCCCTGAGGAATCAGGGGAGGGCTAAGGGTCCAAAGCATCTCTTTAGCTCTGGAAGACCAAGATTAAGGACACAAACGTATCCTGGAGTTATTCCAGCTGAGCAGCTTAATAACGGCATTTTTACTCCCTCCTCAACAACCAGAAAGTTTTTCCAAAAAAAGGTGCCCCTGGAAGCTTGTCCCTCAGGTACCACACAAAAGGAAATATGGAAGTGGCAGGAGAAGGAAAAACAGAAAACTCAAGCACCAGTTCCTAAATTTAGAGTTCTCCCTATTAATTGACTGGGATGGAAATACTGGTTGAGGGTGTGATACTATGTAGATCCAGACAGTAAACAGTTCTTCAACTCATCACATCTAATTACACTGTTTCTTTATTAAGACACTGTATGAATGTTTTAAGCTGCCCAGGAGAGACTTGTTTTCTTTTGGCTTTGACTAACACTGCCAAGCCAGAGCTTGCTCCTTCTCCTGGAACCAAAAATGCCTCGCATTGTCCTCAACCTTCTAAGAAAGTATCTGCAGCTTGCTATTATGGACTCTCCTCAATTTCGTCGTTCGCAATTAAGGAGAAGCCACTGTAACAAATGTTATACACACGCGGATATTTTTAAAGAAGTCTGTGACACACACGTATGCCGTATCTTACACCGCATAAACACGCCACCACGCCCCAATCCACAGCAAAACATTGCCCTTACTGCCAACTCAAGGAGGGCAATTTCCCTCATATAGTTATGTCAATCGGGAGAACCAGAAGTGTTCCCGCACCGTTAACAACCATGCATCGGTCTCCCGAACAGAGAACTGAATGCACGACTTGAAACCGGTCCACTCTGCAGAACCATGAGGACTAGAATCCTGTTTTAATACCACC